GGTAACACAAGGCTTCCGCTTCCCACGAACACAACAGCCCCCAAAAGGCAAAACACAGCCGTACAGCTCAGAAGGAAGCCTCGCGTCACCCCATGCAAACTTTTCCAATTACCAGTTCAAAGGAATGTGTCATCCCCAAGCGTCAAAAACTATCTAAGTCTACATATGTAAATTCATGAATTCTCAAAGCCAGCCGTCTCGGCAGGGCCATCAATATTCTTGCCTCAATCAATGAATTACGAAGTTACAAATTGCGCAGCACTTGTTGGCCGTTCATGCGCTTTCTTCTATACGTTGTCAGGCGCAGAACTTACTACCCGATGCTCACCACAGTAGTAGTAGTAGTAGTAGTAGTAGTAGCAGTAGTAGTAGTAGTAGCCGCAGCAGCAGTAAAGGTAGCAGTAGCAAAAGCAGGAGGAGGAGTAGTAGTTGTGGTGGGTCATGGACTTGCAACCGTCCTTCGCGGCGGCTTTGGAGGAAGACCTACTACAATTTCCCCAGAACCAACAAACTGTCACATTCGGGCCGGCTATGAAACTGAAACTATTGTAATTGCCTTAGGCAACACGTGCTCACAAGTTTGGCCTGGAATGCTCCTACCGTGTCGGGGCCGCAGAGTCGCAAGCGTCATCTTGCAACCACGCTAAGCTCAAAGCCTCAAACGTCGGCTTTGGCTGTACTGAGCGATGAAAAGCCTTGTGTGTGTATGCCTGCAGAACGACCGCATGTTGCTTATGAGTCTTACACTACACACCCTGTTATGTCTATAGTATTGTCTAGTCTAGTGTTTTGCGGGCCCATCGCGAGGTCGCGGACACATTGCTCTGCATCTTAAAGTCCGGCCTGCGGTAAATGTGAGACAATCGTAGCCAACGCTGCTGTCTTCAGTTGTGCAGATGTACACTGTGGCTATGTTGCCGAATGATAATTAATGGCTCTGCTTTTTGCTGTGCTGACCCCTGAGCTTGGCGGTAGGGTCCCTGCCCGCCCCTTGTTCCTGACCGGTACTCTCCAGATTGCTTGATGGCTGTCGCAGCAACCGCATCGAATCGCACAGTGCTAGTTATTGCGACGATGCGATATCGTATCGAGCGTCTGCACGGTGATATAGCATTTTCCGTTTCCGATGTATCTTTGTCGTGGAGCTTGCGGATTTGTTGTTTGCACGCCAAAGAAACAGTTTAGGGCTTCGACTGTACGTGATCCCCGCCCGACCCCAGAACCTACCTTCCAGGTTCAGTTCAAAGCCATTTGGGGCGTACGTCCGGCGCCGCACAAAACAGCTAACACGAATACCCATGCAGACGCAGCCCTAGGACGGCGAGCAGAAAAGAACAACATTATACACTCTCACAAGCTGCTTTCACCGCAGCGTTGCCAGAACGGTTGACAGCACGGTCTCCAGTGGGGGGGCCTACATGCGACTTTTGGCTTTGCTGCCGCTTTGCTGTCTTGGCTTCACCAAATCCACTGGGCTGGAATCCTGCGAGGTATCGGAGAACATCTTTGAACGCATCTCGATGACAATTCTCATGCCGTGCGATGCATGAACACCACTTCTCCGACCTAGTCATGCGGAGTTCCGAATCTGTTGCAGAGCCTGCGTTCTTTCCGCTAGGATGGCGAACTTGAGTTTCAACTGCCGCGAGAAAACGAAGCAGTCGACATCCAGACCCCAGTAGAACAAGGCTGACAATCCTAGTTAGTGATAATACTGTAAGTGTAGGCAAAGCGGTCCGCTGGTCCCGTGAGATAATCTGAGTTGGTTTCGGCACAGCTTCGGCACGCTGCCACGCAAGGAAATGTCAACGCTATACAGTATGGGCACAGCCGAAACGAGAACATGCAAGTGGCCACTTAAGGCACCGGCCCTGGTCGCCGATTCGACGACATTGCTGGAATCCTTCCCGGGTTCCTCTCTGGAGCACCTGAGTGCTTTAGTTTCGTGCCCCCAATTCGTCACAGGGCAACAGCAGCTCCAAGTACTGCTCCAAGTTGTGGACAGGCAGAAGCGTGCTGAGAATTGCGGAGGTTGCACACCTCCACCCGAAAACTCGGGCGATTGATTCAGCGATTCGAGATGCAGCGTTAGCAGACAGTTGGCTCGTCGAGCAAATCTCTTGCATCATGCGTCGCCTCGGTCATCAACTGCTGGATCGTCTCCTAAGTATGAACTGCAATCAATAACTGCAGGCCAACCTCTTCAAAACTACTCAGATGAAGCCATCCTGGGTGCACTGCCAGTGCCTTGAGCAGCAACGAGATCTGAGGCGCCGAGGCGCTCCACAACAGGATGATCCTCGAAAGTCATGAGCTGACTTACTAACGGCGGGCTTATCTCACATCAGTCGTTAGACTCTACGTAGCGAGAAATACACATCAGCAGCAAAAATACGCGTAACATCGCGTAACGGCAAAGCAATCCCGACGTAGACGCGGAATTTAGGTAAAGACTTGCTGCGACGCTAGCGTTTCGGCAAGTTCTTACAGTGCTTTAATTTTCAGATATGTCGCGGATTGCAATCTGGAGCACAGTTTGGTCCGCCTCTACAGGCAAACACCGAAGTTGTAGCGAAAACGGTGGGCGAGCCTTTCCCTCCAGTAACCGCGGATCAATCTGAGCAGTCTGAAAAGGCTATTCCGCATGTCGCCGCATAAGGTAACTACAGAAAAAATTACGGGAGGAGCCTATCAAACCCAGCCTAAGAGTTCCAAGACCCTGACACGACCCAGGCCCATACAAGTAGCATCTTCCGTGGTACGCTAGCGATACGTTCACGTTAGGTACACCCCCCAGCGCCTGTCCGGGAGTTCAAGCTTTACGTCGGGTTGAACGATACCCGGTCGTAAGTGCGGCTGTGATTAGAGGCCACATGCCCTCGTCTTCCCTGCGAGCCTGATGAACATCAAACATGCGCTGAGAACTGCATTCCCTCAGGTTGGACGCTGATCGATATCACGGCGATGTGGCGACAACATCGACGACAACAGAACAACAACGTGCAACAGTTCCATGGTACAGTAGATGCTGGCTAAACACCCCCAAAACCAACTTCGCTAAAACATCAGCTGCGCACTGCGAGATGCATTCCCCGAGTGCCGTTCAACGTCACCAACGCCAAGCCTGCTGCAACATCAGACATGCGCTGAGAACAGCATCTCCTCTGTGCGGACGCTGATCGACGTCACCACGACGACGACAAGATCGAGGACAACTACACGCTGGCAAAACGGCCAAGAAACCGACATAAACCGACTCCGCCAGAACATCAGATGCGTACTGCGAACTGCATTCCCCCAGCGTGGACGCCGATCGATGTCACGGAATGTCACCAACACCGCGTCTACAACAAGTACAACATCAAAATACATCGGACAGGCGCTGAGAACTGTTTTCTTTCATGCTGGATGCCGATCGACCTGTAAAAACCGTGGAGCGAGATAAAACGACCCCTTCTAACGTAGGCGTCGTTCTGATAAAATGGGTGACAATTGTCCCAGGCCAAACAACAGTTGTTTCAGTTACTGATATCAGTGCTTGGGTACTGGCCTGGGTCATGAAAAAAGGGTGACAATTAAACTTCGGGGCCGGACATCCCGAACAAAAATGGGGACCCCTCCACTAAAAGCTTAACCGCAGAGAAAACAAAGAGAGTCCTAGACCCTGAACCCGACTGGCAAAGCGCAGTTCCCCACACTTCTCCCAGCTCGCAGAGTGCACCATTACTACCAGTGCTCATTACTGTTACTATTATGACTACTGACTCTAGTCCCGGCGACAAAATTATTGTTGCAACACCCAACCCCCGGATCTGAACCCAAAGCCTCATCGCCAAAAAACAGTTCAGGCGGGAGCACGTGTCCCGCCCGCCGCATTCGCTGGATGCTGATATGTTCTCAGACCACTCCGTCCGTCCGTGTGTGTGTGTGTGTGTGTGTGCCCGCGCGGGTGTGTGTCCGCCATACACCGCACCAACCCAAACTTGAAGCATTAAGCGTAAGGCTGAAGTCCCTGAGCCTATTAGCGCTTGCCTAAAGCCCACACGAACCATAGACCTTACTTAAGAGACTCTTAAGAGCCTACACTCCAAACCGTTCCGCTTTGAACGGAATTGTGGAGGAGATCACCAGATGCTGGCAAATGCTGCCGAAACGGGAGGATACCCGTGCTAATCGCCTCTCCGAGGAAGGATCCCTTGCTGTGAGATGCTGTGAGGACATGTGAGGCCTGACCGTTGTCAAGGGATCCAATATCAGGGCGCGGACATGCCAAAGCAGCCGTGAGAGAGGCATCTGTGGCATCATCTGCATTTCCGGCTTCGCGTATCCAGGTGCCGTCACGGTCAGCTGCTTGCGCGTGTGCCTGTAGTGTGTGAGTGAGTGAGCGAGCGAGCGAACGAGGGAATGAGCGAGTTGCGTGCAGCCGCTAAACGTACCGGGTTGGCCCGCCGTTCGCGCACGCAGCTGGGAGGTCACCGCCATTCATGTACGTCTGGCGAGGGGACTGGACCCAATCCCCACCACTCATTGCCCAAATTATTGTTAACTCTTGTTGACGTGCAGCTTGGTACAATCTCCTGGAAATAAGCCTGCAAGTCGTGTAGTAGCTCTTGCCAGGATGTGGCTTGTGTCATGTCTTGTCCTGCCAATCCTGATTTCGCACCATGCACCTGCGAGGCATCTTGTAATCTGCCAGAAATACCCAAGCCGTCAAGATTCAATCCTAAATGCTGAAACCATCAGCCGAGCAATTGACTCTGATACAGTCTAACATGGTCTAGCCATGAACTTTCAACTGAATTTGTGGTGCGCAGGTTCATGTTTGTACGACATTACTTCCATCTTGAAGAATCTAGCTCAACATTTTTTAACAGCTCGCATGCGCCAAGCTTATCTAGATAGCAAGACCTGCATGCCGCCAACGTCAGCATTGTCCAGCAAGGCCAAAATCATGCACAAACAGCTTCCACCACAGTCAGCTGCTCCATGTAGCACTTCTGAATTCAATATCTGGCTGGTTGTGTATGTGGCATGCCCAGATCTTGTAGGCGCGTGAAGAGACATGGGTAAGGGGTGGCATTGCTGAACTCTTTCTTGGTTGGATACCGCGAGACCCTTGGCACAGCAGGAGAAGACGTGCTCACAGCTAGCCCATGGCAGTTGGTGGTTGTAGCCCGGCTGAAACTCATCACCTTGGTTCGTTCGTGCTGGACATGGTTACAAAGTTATGCTGCTGATGATTTCTGTTTCCATGGGAAATTGTCATTCAGCTAGTCCCTTTCTGACCACAGACGCTGTGCAAGGCTTGGCTTGTTTTGCCAGTGACGAGTGTGCCATGCCTGCCTGCCTCCAACCCAGCCTCACTTCATTCATGCTCATGCAGACCAAACACCCCAGAGAAATGGCCACATCCACGAGTGAACGAAATCTAGATCCAGCTACTTGCGATGCGCTGTTGAGCTCCACAAGTGAAGTTGACAAGTAGAGGAGGTGGATTTTGCACCACGTGTTCTGGTTGGTCCCTTCTTCGCCTTGCCCTGGGGTCGATCCATGGATTCTGCTGGTTGCCATAACAATTGGCTGGCAAAGGAGATGGCACTCATGGCCATCAAGGCCATGGTCAACATGATTTTGGTGGCCATCGCAATAGGCTTACACGATCGCACTGGCTTATGCTGCGAGGATGCTGATGGGGTACTTGAGGCTGCAGCTGATGCACAAGATTTCCAAAACAATCCAAAAACCAGCACCAATAACCACAAACCGTGGCATCAGCATGCATCAGCTAGCATGTGAGACCAGTGTCGCCCCTGGCATCATAGCCGGCCGCTGTCGTTTTATCCAAGTATGTGTAAATAAGCAGGCAAGCAAGCAAGTAAGTCTGTGTGCACGCGCGTGTTTATTTGTTTGTGTGCGTCTCTGTCTGTGTGTGTGTGTGTGTGCGTGTGCGGTGTGCTGGTGTGCGCGCTGGTGTGTGTGTGTGTGTGTGTGTGTGTGTTTTTGCTTTTTGTGCACGCGCGTACCTGTTTTTTGTTTGCTTGTGTGTGGGTGTCTCTTCTGCAGTATAGTCCTGTCTGGCCGACCCGAACACATGCCACGGCGCTGAAAGACTCGTGGAGACGTGTCATCTGGGCGTGCCACGAGAGTGGATGTTGCATTCGCAGAATCTGCAGATCGCACGAAGGACGGGAACTCCCCACGGAGTGGTTCGCTTCCACCTGCAGAGATCAAGGAACAAAACATGCACAGACTGCAACCGGTGCTTTAGATTCGTACACTTCCACCAACAGGACGGACAAAACAGCAAGGCTCATAGTAATCGTCGTCAAGCAGCTGCTGTACCAGTGGCCAAAAACAAACAGCACCATTTCCAATTCACGTGTGTCTGGCTGTCGGGCCTTTGCCACCACCGCCCCTGCGGATCTGACAAGTCTCAACCTAACATCATGCGTGGCAGCGAAGAGGGGCGCCATTCTGCACATGCAAACCTGCTTCTCTTGTATTGACTTTGTAAGCTGGCTGCTGGCACACGCAGATCACTGCCACCTTTCCAGTGGAAAACAAAAGACAGAACTCTCAAGGCCACGCCCTGCAACATCGCCGGTTGATGCGATAAGGGCGTAGCCCATACGGATGCGCAGGCTAGCCATGGGGGCGCTGAAGAAATCATCCCCAGCTGAGTCTCCACCCGGTCGCCTGTGTCGGACGACCATTAAGTGCAGCGACGCTTGAACTGAAAGCTGCGAGCCTCAAGCGGCTCGAGTCTGAGGGGTCCAGAACCTCGGAGATAATCTGCTCCTGATGCGGCGCTGAACTTCAATGACTCACGTAATCGTGATGTGCTTGTCTGGTTGGCTGAATGAGCAACATCACAACAAATGGTGGCTTCACGTGGCAGCTAAGTTCTGCATTGTCTCATCTGTTGGCATCAACACTTCATCCCAGCAGTCCATGGCGCGAAGTTGCTCCAGCATCCGCAGCTCCTCTTCCTCGCGAGAATGGAGTTTTCTCTACTACTGTATCAACTGCACACATGATTTTGGAGCACCAGCTGGCTGAAGCTTCCAAGAGCTGCGCCATGGATCCAGCTTCGCCGATCCCAAACTCTCTGTTTTCCCCATCGCTTCCTGTAGGCGCGAGTGGGCTCCCCCTAGTGGCTAAGGTGCAGCTCGCAACACAATGAGACGGCGGATGTCTGATTTGTTTCCTCTGCTGGCTCCAAGACGTCCTGCTGCAAGGCCGCCGTCGGCCTGCATGTACAGCCCCGACCATGTCACGAGCCACTTCTCCGAATTGTCCTGAACTGAACCGCTTGGTGTTTCTCGTACCTCGTGCGCTTCTAGTGGAGGAAGATCTTCATCCTCGTCATCATCGACAGGCCCTCCCTCCTTGAGCACAGTGTGGTGTCACCATCCGCCGAACCCAAAGCTCAGCGGCAACTGGAGCACCCTTCCTCGTCAAAATCGTCGTCACCCATGCCCTGAAGAGTGTGTGTCACAGATTTTTGCAAGTCCTCAACAGTGACGCAGAGACTCCTGCCTCGTCTTCCATGAACTGAACCTCAACATGCTTTTCTGCTGAATACGTAAAGGTGCGGACCATGGCAAGATCAAAGGCTGACAGGTTGGCTCAGGTGACTGCCACATCTAGAGCACCGCTGTTGCCGTCTACTTCGCTGAGTGAACCTTCCCGAGATAGAATGCTCATACCTCAGCAGCAAGTCCTCACTGTCGGCAGGCAGGACCTAAAATCGCACGTCTTGGTGCATGGCCCCGTCTTACAGCTCCTTAGCTGCACAGCAGGTTGCCCATGTCAACGCGCAAAGATACTGCCTATAAAACTGAATTTAATGTCGAACTGAGTAATCTGAGATGAAGGCCGTCAATCGAAGGTGCGGACGAAGCTCGTGATCGATGCATCAACGCCTCGTTGTATCTCCCTCCCTTCTGGCGGTTTTGGCTCTCAATCCCCGATACCCCGCGCTGACAGTCTCTGCTCGCTTCACGAGCAGAGCACATGCGCACATGCTAAAGACAGTCTAAAGACACTACCCAGATAATGTTTCTGCATTTTGGTGGAGCGGGTGTCTTCATCAACGTTGTACCGCAGTGTTCACTCGTGAATTTTCTTTCATCTCTGGGGCTCCGCTTCCGAAAACGTGCATCTATACCCTGCAGCCTTGGCATGGGTGGCCATGAGGAAAAAGCTGAAATCTAGTAAGTAGACAAACAAGAAACCCTCAGCGGATGTATTGCTCTCGAAAGGCATGGTCTTTGGATTCGCGATGCGCAGAGCAGATCGGGTGAGAGACGATTCTTCTTCTGGCCTTCGCCATGGTCGACTGTCTCAGCCGGCACGTCCCACACCGAAGTCTTTTTTGTACGCAAGGTGTCTTCCCCACGCTTGAAAAGCAACACTTCTCCTTTTGGAAAATTCTAGCTCTCATTCTCCGATCACGAAAACCCGTAGCAAGCCATCGACGGTCTGCATGCCTTTGCAGATGACTCTTGCAAGCATGCTTCCAACTTAAGCATCTTTTTCGTCTATGTGGAATGTTCAAACTAAGTGGATTTTGACTTGCACGCATTTCGTCACATCTCTGCCCTGTTCCGTGCCCATGACAACCCAACGTGTCAAATTCGAGACAAGCCGAGCTCAGCCTCCAAGAGACAAAACCAAGAAACGATTCAAAGCCTGCTGGGTCCGTTGTGCTAGTGCTTCGCCGTAGCATGCTTTGCCTTGTATTGCTGCAGCACCATCATACAGGATCCATAGTAATGTTCTGCCGAAGCTCTGGTACGAATAATGGTGGGGGCTGGTCATTGAGCAACACGCGCGCATGCCCGTCAAACCATGCAGTGGATATCAGTGGATTCAGCACGCGCGTCAACATGCGTCAACATCCAACGGCCAACAGGGTGGGCCAGCATCATGAACGAACAGTCCAGTGCAGAAGCAGCCGAGCGATCTGTCTGCGATCAAGCGTGTGCGCAGGCTGGGAACCTGTAGCTGCCTATGCAGTCTGAACCCAGGTACAGATGCATCCTATGGCCACCACTGCTACTGCTGGTGCAGATGTCGGGCGCGAAGAAGTCGGCGTCCTGTACACTGAGGAGCTTAATTTCCACAATTTCCACAAGAGCGGAAGCAAGACAGGCTCCTCTGTTCACTGCCCGCAACGCCAGCCTGCGAGAGCTTGTAGATGCACTGGAACCAAATTGCTTGTCGCTTGCTTTCATGCCACTGGCAATCCACCTCTTCACCCGCAGTGCCAGTTCTTGCGCCAGTACCTCAAAGTCCAATGTTCGGATCTCACATATCGCATGTAGACTCGACTCTAGACTAGGATAGACTAGGCCTCACTAGCGTGCTTGGACGGTTCGAACATACTGACCCCGAAGAAATGATGTGAGCTTTATGTCCGTGGCGACCGGAGCAGCGGCAGATGCCAGGGATCAAGCCATTCGCTCCAGCGTTTGCGGAGGCGTTCTGCGCATGGCGCTCGGCCTGCAAAAAAGCTTCCAAGTCTTCGCTCAGAGAGGGCATCTTCTGGCGTGCTTTCTTTTCACTCCCCGTGCTTGTCTTCAACGCAACTTCATCTGTGGCTTGGGCCCATTCTTCTTGTCGACGGCGGAGGTGCTCCCGGATTCGTACCAGGTCTGCCTTGATCGGCCAACCAGGTAACCAGCGGCAAGACATGGCAGGATGCTATTTGAAGGGATACTGCAGGCATTCAGTCCTGCCTGAGAAAGTACTGCCTGGATCGGAGCACCGTTGGCGCTTCCCGTGCCTTGAGATTGAGGGGTCTTGTTCCCGGATGTTCTTGCACCTTCCTCGCGACCGGCGAAGAGCGTCAGCTAGGGCCGAAACTGTCCCTCTTTCCAGGCCTCCGGTGACTCTGTCTTGCTTCAGAGGTCACAAGGTATCACAAGCTCAGCTTTACGAACTGCAAAATTCTGTCATCTTTGTCAAGTTTGCCGAGGTCAGAGCGGAAGGCGAATGCGTGCCCGTGGCAGCTTGTCATACAGAACCCCTTTGTCGTCAACCTCCCCCACAGTGGCAGTGCTGCATTGGAAGAACCTACCGTCTGCGTGTGGAAGGTAGCGACGCGAGAGACGATGGGCAGCCCACCAAGCTGAAGCGTTCCCCGAGCTGCCCGACAACAGTGCCTGCAGGAAGGCAAGGTGAAATCGCCCAAACATTCCCATGGCAAAGCGATCCTGGGATCCAAGTCTTGTCTCCCTTCGGAGTGAATTGGATGCGACTCGTGAGTCCGGACAGCGGCCTCAAGAAACCGACGGCGAGAATATGAATGACAGACATGCTCCAGTTCTGAGGCATGAACTCATTCTGTTGGCTTTTGGCCTTCTCTTTTTGGGCCTCCTTAACACAGCACACACAGACTTGACGTTGCAGACAAGCTCGAGATCCGATGCCTGAAGAGCTTCTTGATCAACTATGACGGCTGTCTGGACCTTGGCATGACTCGCATTCGCAACATGTGGCTTCCAAAACATGGCCGCTCTTGTTGTTGAGATTCGCCTCGGGTACAGATTTGACCTTGTCGCCGATCCCACTTGGGCAACTACCACATGTCCAACACGTGTTGCCAGGGTTTCTGCCTCGGGAAACGAGCAGTTGTTTGTCCCCGACACCCTCAACAGTGATGTCAGCTTGGACGAGGAACCTCCTGCTGCGTAAGCTTCTGCGCGATCGGCCCCATGCCATTGTTGGCAACACCCGCCTGAACTGCCTCCTCCTGCCAGCTCACAAAAGGGAACCAGCACATGCATGACGTAAGGTCAAGCGATGTCAGGCGCACCATTCCCGGCATACCACGTGGACAAAGCTCCCTCACCGCGCCAACCTTCGCAGAACTCTCAATGCCTCCTCTGGTTACGTCCAAGCTCTTTGAAGAAGTCATTTGCGGTGCAACGGTTCCGAACTGTCACGACCAGTACGAGAGTTATTGGATCGATCCGGCAAGTAATATTCTCAAAAACGTCTCAATCGTCCACCTGTGGGGAGACACCTGTCTCCCCGCAGGTTGGTTTTGAAGCAAAGCTTGTTTCGTATCCCGTCTTCAGTCGAGGATCTGCTGGCGCTAGTTGCCATCTCTACTTGCTAGGTGGCCCGTCTTTTGGTCAGTGACCGTGGGCTGCGCAGAGTCTAGCCCAGTCTCCCCTCTTTCTGTATGTCGTTCGTGATCATTCTTTTCCAGATTCTTCCCTTTGGCTGCATCTGAAAGGGGGGGTATACCGCCTGCAGTGCAGCCTGGGCGAGGGGCAGGCTGCAGCTGGGTTGCAACAAGCATAAGCATAAGCCCTACTCTCCTTGACATTCTCTCTGGCATGCAAGAACTGCAGTAGCAGGGGTCCACGGCTTCTGCTTTCGACTTTGGGGTTTCGGTGGGCCTTGAACCTTGGGACTGAAGCCGAAGCGTTTTGGTGAGGTCTTTCGTCACAGTTCATTCCCACTGTTAGACAGCCGCGCTGAGAGCTGATTGGGGACAGCAAGCCTTGGCTTGCAGGGACATTGATGAGGCCAGGAAGAATCTGCGAAATCGTATGACGCGAAGCACAAAGACCATCAACTAAGTCGCAGGCAATGTCATCCTTGACCATTGGCCAGAACAGTTCGAAAGGGATTTCGTCAGAGACTGCCTTGTCTGCAGTCTCGCTCTCTCTCTCGCACTCAGTCTGCCTTCTTGCGCCGGTGGGAGGGGCGTCCAAAGCTTTCTCAAATGGATGAGGTGCAGGCAATCATGACCGTGTGCACCTCGAACAAACACAAAGCAATGCCGACAGCTGACGACGGATTAATTACTACAGTACATTATATCCGGCGGTTGGTCACTGCAGCCAAACCCCTCTCGTGCAACTGTCGTCGTCATGCGACATAACCACATTGCTGTGTCCATGTGGTGCAACTAAGTTTCGGACCCGCATCGAAGGATCCACGGCCTGTTCCTTGCTTGTGCAACTGTTTTACTTCGCATGTGTGACTCCGAAACTTGTGGACAGGCTCGGGACAATTATCTGAAGATGACGTGACATGCTGCAGCTACAGTGCAACATAGGGCAGCCGTAGCAGCCTGCTGAAAGGGCACAAGTGTGCCTCTCTGAATATTCGACTGGGATGCCGGGCACATGTGGTGTCGCCATCCGTGGTATCTGCAGCAAAGGCCTCAGGGCGCTTTGCCAGCATGCTCTGCCACGGCTTTCGAGAGATTGCACACAGGATCGAGCCAGGTTCCAAGCACATCGTGTCTTCTCAGCACGGATAAGTTCCAGGACCTGCAAATGCTGACTGGCTTGCTGAATTCCCTGACACAGCCGCAACACACCCTGTTTCCGCTCCTGGGTGGCATTGTCAGATGCCAGCATCACGACCTCAAGTCTCCAAACAGTTCAAGCTTTCAAAAATATCATCATGTCGGAACTCGAAGATTCCTTGTCTACGGTTTATGTAAACTGAGACTTCGTACTCACCTTGTGTTCTTGAACAACCGTTGGCGAAAGTGTACGCCGGCGCGACACTGAAATGCTTGCTGTTTCTGTTTACTACTTTTGGCAACATGATGATATATTACTAAAACATACTAAAACCACTGTTCCTACTTGCGGCGTACTGCTATTATGGCCAGTATACCACCATACCTAGTCCGGGCTAGTCGCACGATTACTGCAGGCTTTATTGAACTAGTATGCATTATTTCATTACTGCTATTTCTATGGTCACCATCCGTGGTACTCTCCACGAATAAGCCCTGTTTGCACACTTGCATGAGCAGAATGAATACATTGCCAAGAAACAGTTTTCGCATAACCTGATTCAAATCTCCGGTACCTCATGATTCCAAGCTCCATGCTTTTGATTTGGCTTCTTCTGACCTCGTTCGCTGGAAGCACTAGGCAGATCGATGGTCAAGTTGGACGACATGCACGAAACAAGAAACACAACTTGCAACTTTGCCCTTACCCTGTATGCATCGATCTCAGCGACATGCGCAACGTCTGCATCACTTCGATCCTGTCCACGTGATTGGAAGGAGAACTATACAAACAACAAAGCTCCCGCTGCCACTTTATGCTCAATCTGAACCTTTGCACTGCGAATGGTGCTCGCCAGGCCGCAGAGAGACAGGCAGACAAACAAACAGAAAGCGCAAGCGGAATCCAATGAAGCATGGACTGTCCGACCAAGCATACACCAAAAGCCATGTACATCAGCCATGAATACTTCCAGTCGCTCGACTCGTTGCTTAACATCTTCAAATCAGTTGAGCATCTCGCACCCACAAGTGCGAGCGAAGGCTCAACCGGAAGAAGATGCAGTGCGCAGGGCGGACGAATTTAAAAGCTACGAAAGGTGCTGCATCTAAACACGCGACGATGTCTATCCGACAAAACCCTGCAATGGAGCTACCCCGGCCGCCGTGCAGCATATGTGCTCTCGCTCCCGCGAAGTGGAAATACACCAAGAACTGACAGCCGAACGACTCCCATCTACTCCCTCACTGTGACATCTCGGCAGCCTCAGGCTTGACTTCCGAGAGCTTCGAAGCCTCGCCCTGGCGACCAAGCAAAGGCGGCAGCTTGGAGTTGTCTGACGTCTCGCTCCAACGTGTCCGGGCGTGTCCACAGCCGGTCGTCAGGTTGCAGCTGATTGCCGGGTGATGCCTCCGTCCCTGCGAGAACGTGCTCCAACCTGTCCTTAGCTTCTTGCATCTACACGCGGCTGGTGGTCTGAAGGCAATTAGAGCACCCGACCAGAGTGGCCACATACTCTTCCGCTCGAGTCAAGGCCTGAAGCTGGTTTAACGCCTCAGGCTGTACGGGATGCTTTTCCAAAGACCATCTAGGATCAGCTTGTGATATGGAAAATCCCTTTGACTTACCGCGGGAGAAGCAAACACACTCTGGGCATGTCTGTCTGGGCTCCCTGCCACCTTCAGGGCCAGGTCTGAAACATCTTCGGAGAGCGACAGCACTGCGTAGCTGCGGTTTGCCAGAAGCCAACACCTGACCAGCACCCTCGATCCTCTTGCACAAGCAAGCTGCAGTCAGATGTCGCCAGTGGGGCCATTTGCGAGCACTGTCAGCATGCTAGCTGCTAGAAGCAAGGGGTGTTTGAGCACAAGGCTGGTTCTCCTCATCTTCGGCCCGCACTGTGTGCACCTTGCCACCATGGTATATACAGCGTTTCGAGGTGTGCAGGGTCGCGAGGACAGCCCATGCAAGAGACTCGGGATCTTGCTGGGATGGGCAGCCCGAGGCTGAAAATCTCGAAGGCGACCACCTATAACAGCAGGCGTGCAAACTTGCACTCTGTGAGTCATCATGATGGCCTCATAGGCTTTGTCTGTGTGATGGTCCCAGATCCTGTGTCCTGGGCAAGGGCATGGTCCAATTCATTCCAGACGATGCTAACCACACTGAGTACAACAGGCTTAGCCCACGGCCAATAAGCCGATGACAAAATTTCAGGTATGCTTCGTCAATGCATGGTGTAACCTGAGCAGCGCGTGCAGCATAGCTGGCCTGAAGTACTGCCCTGCGCAAGCAGCGCATCGTTTATCAAACTTATCAGTGGCAGCCTTTGTGAGAAAATTTGCAAGGTCCGTGAGCTGAACCAGGGGTTCCACAGAAACCTGGCCAAGCGTGTCTCACGAAACACCAGATCCTGATTGTGCCACAATTGGCACTTGTCGACACAATACAAAGATTGACTATGCACCAAATCAGTGACAAGCTACTTGCATGTTGAGTGCCTGCCGTCTACGATATCCACGGCTACAAGATCTGATTCCTGAGAGCCCATCCCTTGCCTATACTGCACACATGGCAGGAGCGCGGACAATGCCGGCACTTGCTTCGGCAAGTGTATGTCCAGCACCGGGCATGCGATGCCACCTGCGAAAGCCACGATCCGCTGTAACAAGTCACAGAGCAGAAAGTGCCAAGGAGTCGGCTCGCCGTGTTGCGCAGCTTCAAGGAAATAGGCCTTAGAATATGGGCACTCTGTCTGGCAGTGCCGGCTTAACATCGGAACATTTCGGAAGCTGAGAAGGGTGCTCTGTCAAGGCCTTCAGGCCACGATCCTTTTTGTGCCGCCATACCTTGGAACCGACAGGTTCTCGAATTTTTCCTAGGGTGTGGACAGTTCAGCGACACCTCAGGCTGCAGGGAAATTACGGCTTCCTTTGCCTGCTCTGCAGACTGACCGATAGCTTACAGTGCGCGAAACTCCGACTGCACAGATGACAGTGTCATCGGATGTTTCCTTCATTTTCCTTTAGTTACTCGACTCGTTTCCGTCATTTGAGTCAATTGCACTTGACCAGCAGGGGGCAAGGTAAATATCAGCCTTGGATTCCGGATCGGGCCCGGTGTCCGACCGCCTGGAATTCGGACGGGTTGATTTCGGGCTCCACAAACGGATTTTTTCCCACCCGCCCACAAACGGATTTGCATGGGAGGGCTGCTCTTCTGCATCAAGTGCGGCCAGCACTGACAAACATCATGATGTGGCTCCACGATGTGCAAACTTGTCTTCCACTGCTTACTGATCCTGAGCAGGTATTGGCCTCGGACAGGCAGCGCCTCTCCGGTCTCGATCACGGCATGCAGCGCCTGACTTCTCCGGTACCAAAGATTCTGACTGACTTGCTTCTCTGACCCGATTCTCTGGAAATCAAGGTACGGCGAGAGAGACCGCGATTCGAACTTCGTTCCTATTTCGTAATAAGTTTTTACCGGCTGACTAGATGACTGGGTCATAAGTATACCAAAGGAAATTGGCTACAGTCCGGGCTGCATCTACGCTGGATGGATTGCCTTGTGTGGGCCGATTTAGCCCCGCGACTTGGCGGATCATGACTTTCATGTCGCAGGTCAGTCTCGGTCATTCAACTGGCAGAGCGGCAGAGCTCCAGGCTCCCTCTTCTGTGTTTGGTTTGCGATGGTTCCCTCCCTTGTGCAGCATACTTGCCGTATGCATCCGTATGCTGCATTGGCAAGCGAAACTTACTAGTCCAGCCGGAGAGTGAAAATGGCACGGGACTAAGTAAGCGTTGCTCCTTAGGCAACCGAAGTGACATGTAGGTACATGCCACGATCCCGCAACTGTCCCGTGGATAGGGCGGATAGGGAGATAAACTTCGAGCAACTGACGGTTTCCATCACAACGTGGCCCAATGCTTCAAGATCGGCGGCATGTACTATGTGTCAAGCTCGTGGCCGTCTTACATCCTCATGCCTGTATTGTACACCCCCGCACGGGGCGTTGTCTTGACAGCTCATGTTCGCTTGTTTAACATCCGTGGTTCCTCTGTCTGCACCTTACTTGAGAGGGCTTGCAAATGGTTCTTTCAAGTTCCTTGACAAGCTGCTCTCCAAACTTCGTGAAATGTGACGGACGATCAGAAACTTGGGCCTGTGAGCGGGCCGAGGCGGCGTCACGCAGCGATAACAGTGCTGACTGCCAGGCCACGACGTGTAGCTGACAACGGCTGGGAGAGTTGTGGGAGGCATCAGGCATAAGCGACACACGACAGGCCGACGACACTTGACTGCGCAAACAAACACAATACCATGAGCAGTTGGCTGCCAGCCTTCAGGAACCTTGTCAGTCCCTTCTTCGATTGCTTCCTTAGCTTCGTGAGCAAGCTGCAGGCTGTATGCACGCAGCAGAACCAGCAGCCGATGCTCTGCTCACCGCCCCCCACAGCTTTGCTCCACCTGCCCCTCCCAAAATTCCACCTGCCCCTCCCAAAATGACAAGGAGCGAGAAGTCACCGAATGCTTCGTAGAAAAGCTTCCACCGGTCCTCTTTGTGCGACCTGAAGCTGAAACACAGCCTGGTTCAGCCTTACACTCTCTTGGACGACTTTGAATTGTACGGCTCTGCGCTCTAGCAGCCGGGTTATCGCAGCCATGGTTTCGCAAGATCTTGCGCGGCATTCGTGCATAATCAGATATAATCAGGGTGTGGCGCGGTGGTGCGACCAAGCGGTGGCTCGAGGAATATCTTTACAAATTCCCCATGTGCAGCACCGTCCTGTACTGCCTTCAGCACTGTACCGCCTCCGGCTCTGAGGCCTGTCCAGTTGCTCCAGTCACCATCAAGCTCGAGCCGTCCAACTGAAGACGCCTCCCCACACTGTACAAACACGAGGTGTCAGATGCCTTCAAGGCAAACTTCGGCCTAGGCACTGCCACGTCCTCGCACTGTACATTCGATCGTATAATAGTATCGGTGCAGAAATCTGCAGAACACTGAAAATCTTTAGCTAGCTGCTAGCTCGTAAGCCCAAATCAAACAGAAAGCGCGGGTTCGGTTTATATGTTTTTATCGCGATCGTTGTCCACGCACCGCCTTTATGGCCAGCTATATAGCCATGGAAGCTGCCCCAGCTTCGATATGCAGAGGGGAAATCGTGTGAGTGCTTCGCTGGGTAGGCACATGCGGTACTGTCTTAACTCTGTCAGATACCTCGACCCACAACTACTTCTGGACTTATGGGGATATGATCGTCCTATAATCCTATACATTAACATTCATTCGGCATTGTCGACGGATAGAATAGAACTCTCGTCCGCCTTCTTGCCGCGCAGCCGGAAACAAAAGCGCTTCTGCTTCACTTTCTGACATCCTCAGATTCTGCGCGTAGCTTCGACACGCCTTCGGGACCAGTCCGTGATCGCCGCTGTCAATCATGAACCGGTGCCTCCGATCTGTGAGCTCCACGACCCGACCGGAATGTTGGATGAAGCTGAGCTCTGAAGCCTTGGCTGTTCCCCAAGATGTGCTAAGATTGAAAGCTCTCCAACGCACCCCTCTAATGCGAGAAGTGTGCGAGATGCCATGCAGACATCTCCTCTTCGAGTGGGGTGACCCCTTCTTGCGGGAGAGATGCAGCGTTGGCAATGGGCGCGGGCTGTCAAAGTGACGTTCGGTATGTGCCAGGACGCCTGCCAGTGCGAGATCGTAAGCTCGCTTTTGCATGTTTTCACCCTCCTTAACATGACATAGCATGACACGGCTTGTCTAACCTGTGTTGGCCACAGTACCGCTTCTTGCGGCGCAGGGTCTGGGACTGTGCATCTCCACGAAACTCTCGTGGCCATCATCTCCCAGGGTCTTGCTGCGGTCGAGCCCTGAGTGAGCCGGCAGAGCGACGGAAGTGGAGAGGATCAAGCCCCCAGGGCCTTCAAAACTCTTCAAAGCTCAAGGTTTGGAAATCAGAGCGGATCTTTTTCAGAGAGCGAGCCTGAAGAGCATGGATTTTCTTTCTTGACCCTGTCGCCCACGAGACTCACGCAGTGCCAGGCTGGGGCTCGAACTCTGAGCGCATCGGCGGCTTTCACAGCCTCCCATTTCTTGCAAACACCCTATAGCACTGCAGAACTCGTCCGTCGTCCTCTTTCATACTGCTGTCCGTTCTGTTGCTGGAGGTTGAAACTCAGCTTTTTGAGCTCGTGGCTTTGAAAGGGCTGACAGCATGAGCGCGTTTAAGAACTTGGTGTCCATACCCTGGGTTGAGTATGCACGTTGCTTGATGATACTTGGTGAGGTCTGTATCGATTCGCTGCGTGACTTTATCTTCCAGGTGGGGGCTGGAGCCAACTCCAGGGATCGTGATGAATTAAGTTGACAGGATCTGAAGAGCGAGATCAGGGGAACGCCGACACTCAGGATCCATCGCCAAATCACCAACGCTCGAACCCAAAAGCCACGAGCCTAGGCAGAGTGATATTGCCAACCCACAGATTATTGTCCAAATATATTTTGGGAGCACGAACACCGACTCAGTGAATCAGACAACTATATGACTACATTTGGCGTCTTTGACGCTGGGCTTGACGCAAGCACGCTCTCGGACGCTAAACGACTGGGCAGGATCTTCAGATCGCAGTCATCTTGATTCTCTTGTACACAAGTCTCAAGTACGTAGGTTCAACGGCCTTCCCTTCCAATGTCGACTTGGTCGGCGCGTGGCAGAAGCTCAGAAAGCGCAACGACATCGGCCAGAGTGTCCTGCACGGCCCACAGCTGAACCAGCCTCCTGCTTCACGAAAGGATGCACTCACACTCAACCTTGAAGCGCCGAGTTGCGGCAACAGCTTGCAGGACTTCTTCCATGCCAACTGGCTCGTCCTTCGCGCATGCACTGCTCACGCCAAGCTGTTTAACTACCATCTTTTGCCATAGAAGAGTAAGCTCAACAACCAGCACCGGATCAAAATCAATCTGCGCGCACCATCCACCATGGAGGAAAGAGCCATGGCATTGTACTGCCAGTAGTTCAAGCGACATGGCGTCCTTCTGCCTTCTGTAGTTCCACAAAGCATGGAAGAAGATCCTCCGCATGAAGAGAAACATGCTAACACGTCACGCTTAGGGCCTGAAGGGCTTAAGATTTGTTTAGATCTGCCCACAGTAGCTTGGCTTGACTCAGAAATGGGGTTCTCGCAGCTGTTACGTGTCAGCGCTTCAAGGCCGAGGCGAGACTAGCACGAAGGAGTTTCAGCAGAAAACTCGGAGTAATGTAACAACGTGCAGCTGCATAATGTGAGTCGCCGATTGCTCGGTCACCAGTACGCGGGAATCTTAGAAGCTTGCCTCAGGTGTGAGCGCGCCAATGTCTTTTGAAACACCCATGCCGAAAACTCAGACTGTCATGAAGACTACTCCTACTGCTGTATGCAAACTACTACCATGCTACTCCTGCTCCTCCGCCTCCTCCTGCTGCTGCAGCACAGCTCAACCAACGTTCAGGCGCAGAATGTAGGAGCCCAAAGACAAACGCAAATCTATGCAACCAGCAGTAGAAGCTGCCGAACTACATTGGCATACATTGGCTAGACACGTGTGGCCATCCAGAGGCCATTCTGGCTTTTCCTCTATCCATCACTGGAGGCACGCAGCCCATGGGCTTCCCGCACAGCGAGCAGCTTTTCGACACAACAGCCGTCTTGAAAAAATATGTGCTAATCGAAAACTGCTCGCAGGCAAATCCCTTTGACGGAAAGGCTTGGCACATGCAAGTCCGAAGTGTCCTGGATACTCCAGGTTACGTGAGGCAGCAGCACACAACCAGCCCAGAACTGGCCTATGGGTATGTGCTTGAGGCATCATTAAGCACCAACACAACAATCGAACCTCGGACTACTTCAGCCGCGACTACAGCGAGCAGCGAGCATGAAAGGCTTCCATCAGTCGGCGTTTCTCCTCTCCGCTTGTTCTGATGTGAGGCCTGGAAGCCACTGCATCAGGTCCTGCTGCGTGCTCAGCAGAAACCGAAGTCTTCAGGAAACACGCAGTTACCCAACATGAAATTTGACTTGACCTGAAGTGGCAGTGCTGCTTGCTCTTGATTCGGAACCCTGCGCTCCGGACTCTAGAACGATGCCAAACTATGGGGAATCCCATGGTTGCGGAATGTTGCGGACATCCCGTCCCTCACGCAACAGAGGACAGTACAGACAAATCTACGGGCAGTTTAGGGACGCGTGATTTCAACCAAGTTGACAGAACGTGAGATGAGCGCTGTTGAGCCACTGAGAATACTAACTAGACTAGTTCAGTAGGGCAGGAGTACTAAATTTGAAGTTTCGAATGGTGACGGTGACCTTCGACGATGACCACCAGAGCGGACCCACCGATCGACGAGCCATGATCACGATGCTTCAGTGCCCAGCTCCTGCACTTGGATGATTTCCTCGCTCTCATACATGTCCAGACCTCGTTGCTTTTCCTGGCCACACGCAACGAGTAAAGCTCAGGGCATGGGTGTTTTTCTTATGCTGTCGGTTTCTCCCCTTATGCGAACCGGGCTCTTCCTTATGCGAACCTGGTTTAGCCTTATGCGAAAATGGATTTTCCTTATGCTCCCCACCCTCCCCCCCAAAACCTACAAACCTAATTTTGGACATTCTGTCAAAACCTAGGTCCCTTCAAGCTTTTCGAAAGCACGTCCTGTTGCTCAAGGAACGATTTTTGGCCCACTGCCCGGTGGGCTTCAAAGCAAAATCAGAAGACAAAACCAGGCCCGTAAACTTACTTTACATAAAAAATTGCCTTTGCCGTGGATCGGCAAAACTTATGTCTGCACCCTCAACACCAATCCGTGGAAATCCATCCTAGCTGCGTGAGGCCTGAAGCATGGCTTCGATCCCGAGATGTCTGAAAACCCTATGGAACCTGCAAAACCTGATTTTGGAATTTCTGTCAAAACCTAGGCCCCTCCAAGCTTTTTGAATGCGCCCCGTGCGGTTTGGGCATTGGTTTCTGGCCCACTGCCAGGTGGCCTTAAAGTGCAAAATCCAATGCCTGCTTGAACTTGAAAAATTAACTTTACTGTTCTGACCATCACCACCAACTCCCGCGAATCCACTCGAGCTGCCTGAACCCCTCAAACATGGTTTTGATGTTAGCATTTCTGAAAACCATACTTTTTGCCTCCCGGCTGGCTAGGACTAAAAATCTGATTTTGGCTTTTCTGCTCAAACCCAGGCCCCTACAGGCTTTTTCGAAAGCGCTTGAACAGTTTTGGCCGGAAAACCACGTGTCAAAAATCAAAAAATGCCTAAGGAACATGCGAAACCTGGTTTTTTGACACTCACACTCGGACAAGCCAGGCAAGGTCCACCACGATACTGTCTTCAGAGGATCACTAACACAGCAGCAAAGTAGGTTCACTTCAATGCCTGCTGTCAAGCAGGATAGTAAAAACGCCAGGAACAGGTGCACAAGCATAAGACATTATCCATTTGACAGCCTCCTTCCAGGTTTTTCGGTTCCTGCCTTTGTACCGGGACATTGCAGATTTTTTGCTCC